ATCTTTGACTGAGAATTTGCAGACTGAGATCTCCATGGTTGCCAGTCAGGTTTCTCTGAACTGGAAAGAGCAAACCTGGTGTTAATGAGTAAAAAGCAAAAAGGAGGGAAGGCAGCTATTTAAGCAGCTGAACAGAGGAAATAAATGTCAGCTGTTGATGTCTGGCTTTATCCATTAAACGTGAACCTCTCACATAAGTCTAGCAAAGAGCCAGAAAAGGGTTTAATTAATAATGTAACCCTACGTAAAGTACTTTCAAGTTCAAGAGGGAATTTTAAGAGCCTTTTTACTGGCTTTAAGGGCAAAGTGGAATTTTATTTGAGAGTTTGTAGTAGGCAATATGAGAACTGAAAAACATCTAGAAATGGAGCTAACAAGATTAGCTCAAATGCCAGTTCAATTTTATACCAACAACACCAAATCAGTGTTTATGGAAATGTTATTGTAATTAATCCATCTCTGTAGTTAATTTAATCCTTAAACTAACATATAATAAGTAATAAGATTGAAGGGGGAGGTTTATCTTTCTTATTTTAAAGCTGAACTAATTATTTTCATAAAAACTGCAAATTAACCTTTGTGAAGAAGACACTGAACATCCCTTCTGTGAAAAGTAACTACAGCAGCAGTGCTTCTGATTAGAAAGTATATTCAAATATTTGGTTCCTATGTATCATATGTTTTTATATAGTTTTATATGTATTATGTTTAATAATACAAATTAACATGTTTGAAATTTTATAGCTTTTATTTTCCAAAGACTGAGAGAAGGAAAAGTATTAAGCCCCTTGTTTTGCCTTATCTGCAAAGCTGTTCGGGTGGTGGAGACACTTCAATATATTTGTCTTAGTATATAGAATATGAAAACAAATGTTCTTAGTTTTCATTATAATTCATCCATATTTTCCACCTGTTTACTATAAAACATTACGCTGTACCATTTGAGGATATGACATTGCTTGAGTTCATAATTCATGTTCTGTACTACTACTGATAATTTAGCAGTTACTGAACATGTAGTCACAAAGGACTGTAAATTTAACATGAGATGAAGCTAGTAAAAAGATACAATTTCCAGAGGAATCTCTGAAGTGCTTCACAATGAAAACTACTTGCATCTGCAGTTCTGAAGTTTAAATGATGCCTATGTTCTTGTTTTTTTTTTTTTTTTTGTTTGTTTTTTTTTTTTTTTTTTCCCGTAGTAGCTTTTCAGTTTTAAGTTCTCACAATTTATTCTTTATTTCACTTTTAACAAATCAGTAATGATCAGGATCCGAATTTCCTATTAAAAAATAAAAAAAAAATTGATCCCTAACAGAAGAAAATAAGCAGAGTGTAAAACAGAGCATCATGTTAAAAATGTCAAAGCACTTATCTACAAACAGTACGTTCATTATCCTTACGGTAATAAATACAGCAAGTATGCTAAAACTGACAGCTTTCGTCTTTTGAGTTTGTTCTTCATAAAACTGGGAACTCAGTTCTTTTACTTCACAAGGAGAAGTATTTTACTTCCCTAAAATTCCCTATATCAAAGGGATCACACTATTTGTAGAAAGATAGAAGACAAATCGGCTTTTAATTAAGAAAAGAAAAAAAAATCCCAGGGGAATTATACAATAAGTAGTCCCAAACAGTGCTAATAGAAACAATACATGCACGTTCAGTTAAGAATTGACTGATCAATGTGCAGAACACAATGGAAGATTTTCAGTATTAGCATTTCAGTGTGAAAATACTGACATTTTGTCCACAAATGAACACAAGAAACACACTAACCAATAGTGTACATCAATGAACAGAGACACTGCCAATCTTGTTTCATCACTGTTTTTATAAAAAAAGAAAGAAAATCCGAACTGTGGGAAGCATCAGTGAACATATACACTTCCAGTTAAATATTTCTCTTTCTGAAGGCAATCACTTAACACATGAAGAAAAGATATATCAATTACGTCTTTCTGAAATCTGTCTGAAGACCAGCTAACACTACCCTTTTTTTGCTTTTTTAGGCAGAAAAAGAAAGTTGGCAACAATTTTCGTGTTAATGAGTTGGGTAAAATATGAATTACTTGGAGGAGGAAGTGGAATGCACACACTCAAGTGAATGCTCAGATGTTCTATAGGACAATGTTCTTGCTTCTCCTGAGTTAAATGAATCTTTAATTTTTTTGTTTTGTTTTGTTTTCAAATAAAATAAAATATAAGAGGAAGGCTAATGCATGCCTCTCATTCCCAGAGCATACTGCTATCCGCACCTGAGGCAAGCTTCCTTTGGGGGCATATGCTTGACATTCATGGATTTGACCCTCGCAGATAGGGAAGATCCTACATCCAAATGAGGTTTTATTACGTTTGTATGGTGCAGGAGATAAAACTCACTGCTAGTGTTTTAGAAAGGAAAGCAGTTGTGTTCTGTTCTCGAAGGAATGGTGACAAGTACTGTGACTCTAAAAAGAGTAAAAACACTCAGTAAGCTGTAGATCAGAAGGTTACAGTCTCCTAAATCCAGAGAATCAACAAATTTAGCATAGGGTGTTGGTCTTGGCATTTTCAAACAGCCCCCTGTTCAGCTGACATGTCCAGCTCCTCCCAGCTGTTGCAGCATGGCCAGGCATCAAATGCCAGTGTCTAGGCCTCAGTTTGAAATTACATTTCTGAGGGTTATTTAGTATACAACTTAAAATTATTTTGTTTGCCATAAGCACAACAAAAAATATATTATTAAGTAAGTTTTTGCACAGTTGAACTGATTATTTTCATTTCTAGTTCATGAAATACTCTTTAAGCTTTTGTTGAGTGCATTTAATGTGTATCATCCATTCACATTGTGTATGGTGTTGATTACAAGAACATTACAGACTGAGTATTATAGAACATATAGACTATGTTCTCCATCCTGATTTGGAAGATTTGGTTGGAAATATTGCATTTCAGAGTAAAAGTAAACACTCCTAGTCAGCCTAGTTGTATTTGCTTTAGCACTAATAGTTGACAATCAAGGAAAGGAAATGTAGAAAGACATTTCATTTAAAGCTTCATGTTGACTCATTACTAATTATCAACTAGTTAGTTGACAATCATGGGAAATCACTGCTAAAAAACAGGTCCTTTTAAAGTTTTTATAACCATTTGAGAATGGTACATATTTTTCATTAAGAAAAATGTGATATTTTCCTTTCCAGATTGGACATGTATGTTGCTTTTAAGATATTTTTCCATAGACATATGAGAAGAATAGAGATTTAGGTGTATATTAAGGAGAATAGACTCTTCTTAAAGGCAAGGATATTTTTTCAAGCTATGTGTAAACATGTACAACAAGATTTATTTAAAAATGTACCTTGCCTCCAAACGTAGACTTGAATTTAGCAGAATTTATGAATCAGGAAAAGCAATATCATTGCTGTTTCGTGTAGATTTTCAAATATTATTTTCTGAAATAGCTATGTCAGGTTTGGATGTACTGAGTACAGTAGCTAGTTCACTCTTGGTCAGTGCAGACATTTTGAAATTTAATCCTTGCTTCCCAGGTTTAACTAAAACCCATACATGTAAATTAGATGATAACTGCAGTATTCTTGGGTTTGATAATACAATGTTCATCCGTGTCACATCTGATATTCCTATGGACATTTTAGTGTTTACTGAGAATGTCTGCAGAATTTCTTAGAGGAAAAAAAAAAAAAACACATGTAGATTCTACTCATGCAAATGTATGTGTGTAATATAAGTCACATTTCCATATAGGCTCCCTGTGTGATACACTGGAAACCCAGAGATAACACTGAAGTCACTAGGAGTGAGGAAACTTTCTGTTTATTGGCTCAAGCCAGGCAAAATAAATTTGTAGGGAAAAACTTGAGACCATTAAAAGATGGCAACAGGACCAATATGATAAAATTTAGAGAACGATAGAAAAAAAAAAGATCAGAAACATATTAATTGCTCCTTAAATTAAGAATCTTCATTTTTCATGTGGTCTGTTGCCTAGACATCAGCCAGTAAAGAATAGTGTAGCATTCACTTCCAATTGCTTAACCTGGTACACTCTACATTTGTATCATGTATAGATTGGATGTGTAAGTAGGGAAGGTGGAAAAATTTTCAGGAAGAATACTGCAGCTATGTGCATAAGGGAGTTCTGCGTCTATTAAAGGAACAGAAGATAATGAAACTTAAATATGTTATGAAACTTAAGATGCCTAAGAGACAAAGATTGCCCTGGGGGTGCCTGGATTTGATACTGACATCTGTACTCAAACAGAATGTTTTCTTACTATGAGGAATTTTATTTGAATGAGATTAAATTATTCCCCTAGTATAAAACATTAGTAGTATTTCTTTCACCTAGGAAAAAGAACAAACAATATTTGTTGAGACAGAATAATAGATGCAGTTATCTATTTTTCACATAGTAATCATGTCAGATTCATAATTTTACATACATTCCCTTTTGAAAAGAATTTTCAATGACAAGCCACAATATTTTCTTACAGTGCTCAGAATGAAATTGCCAGTTTCAGGACAGACATCCTTGTCATAACTGCCTTTAAAAGAAACATATCACCAGCTATTTTACAAACGCATACTACCATAACATTTTAAATTTGAATGTGCATAAGGTGGAATCCAATTTCTGTTCACAACGTAGTGATCATAGCTCTAAACATTTTGGTAAATATGTTTTGTTTTGATCTGAACAGTCCAGAAGATCTCTCTATAAAGAGAAATTACAATTAAAAAAAAAAAAAAAAAGAGGATTCAAGATCTCAAGAAAAGTTTCAGAACTTTGCATTTCCTATAAAATTCAAAATTTTCAACAAGTAAATGCTTGTATATTGCCTGGCCAAACTAGTAAAAAATAAATTGCTTTGATAATTTTATTGTTTCCCCAGATTTTCTGTGTCTCTAGGAAAGAGTTGGAAATAAATCAGTTTATCTGGGAAATGATACCAGTTGGGACCCAGCTGATTGCATTTAATGTGTATTTTCTCAGGTAGCTTCGTTTTATTGACTTGATGTTTGAGAAGTCCAGATGCTAATGCTCCTAATGATTAGCCACTCTTTTTGACTTTTGGTAACAAGAATTCTCATGCAGCTAATATCAAACAGAACTTTGTGCTCTACATCTGTCATTTCAAAATTCCCATTTTTGAATTCCCCTAGTCTCAAGTACGTAGTACATTTTCTCCCTATTTTACTCCCTACAATCTTCTCTCCTACTTCCAAGGCCCCATGATGCAAAATGTCATTTTGCCGGTCTTCAGTTCCAGTTATAACTTTAATCTTACTGATTTTAATAGGCTTTTCAAATACAATCCCATAAAAGTCCCCCGTAGAAGGAGGCTTGCCCCAGAAGTACTCATCAATGCTGCTGTAAGCCTTGCTTGCTTCGTAGTTTTCAAATACATTCATGTTGGTGTGCAAGTTTGCAGGTGGGTTGTCAGGGATATCAAATGATTCCTCTTCAAAATCATCATCCTTTAGTTTGTTTTCAGCTCCTTTGTAAGATGAATAATATCCCATGTGCTGGAACAGTGATGGCTTAAAACGTATCACTTCCTTTTGAGCTAACAGCCCACGAAAGTGGATCAACAACCAATCGCAAGGCATTTCTTGGTAAAACATCAACAAAAAATGGGCCAGGCGTGGGAGGTCATGGGAATGGTAAAGCTTTCCAATATACCCCAGTTTGGAGAATTCCAAAGTTACCCAGTAGGATCCTTCTCTTGAGGTAATTACTTTCTTAACAGTGGTCAAAAAGTTCTTTGAACAACGAACGTCATCTTCTAGCATCACATAATAGTCAGAAAGATTAGCACAGAAGTTAAGCAGGAAAGCATAATCAACATTTTGTTTGGATCGAAACTTCACACGGTCTTCTGGGTCATTGTAATTTCTCTTGAGACCATCTAGTGCTGGATAATACTCCTCAGGGACGTGAATAACTATTAGTCTGCCTGCAATTATGTGATGTGCAAATTTCTGTGAAATATCCTGGACCATCCCTTCACACCAGGTTGAATCAAAATCTGCCAGCTGTACTACCACTGTGATTTCTTTAAGTTCCTCATAACTTGACTGTTCAAATATGGACTTGATGGTCTCAAGCAAGTAGTTTCCTTTTTTCCGTTTCACAGAAGATAGCCCAATTGTAAGATACCCTGTACAAAAGAGAAATCAGACAAAAACAGAGAATCTGACATTGCAAACTAGTTTCAAAGCTATCATCTGGGGCTGTGTTAATGTTGAATAAAGCTTTTGAATGGTGAACCTACTGAGATGCATGCAGCAAAGAATGTTTATTCCTTTTTCATGAAACAAGAATCATACTGCATACTAGTGTGAAATGGACAAAATCCAAACAATGTGAATGTGTATGCCTGGGACAGGAAAAAATCCACTGATCAAAAATTCAATGTTAAGACTATGAAAATCTGAAAGAAAGAAAGGTGATTATGATTTATGATTCACACAACATTTTTGAAACAAGGCACTGTGAAGTACAGCACCAAAACATGAGCTAAACTTTCATTATTTTAAACACTATACAGAACTAGTTCCATTTATGCATATATTTACCATTTTATGAATGTAGCATGGATAATTTCTCTCTGCATTTTCATTTTCATTTTTAACTGAACTTGTCCAATTTTCCCCTGTTGAATTTTTTTCTAACCCTTCTTCAGAACTCACTGAGTAAGCACACGTAAGTCCCTTTTGCAAGATGTAATTTGGACATTATTTTGAAATAGAAGAGAATTTACCACTGCTTATCTGTATTTCCATAAGCTGTTTTCAATGCTGCTACATTTTGCTGGGGAAAGATGCATCTTCACTGTAAGCAAACAATTTAAATCTTTGCTGCCTTGCAGTTATTACTATTACATATTTCTTTCCTGGCAGTCCAAATCAGTACTTTCAGATATCTTCTGATGTATATCTATTTTAATGTAATAAATGCTAAGACTTGATAATTAAGTTGAGTCTGCACCAACTTTCTTAAAAAAGTGGTTTGTAAAAGACTACTCTGATATAACGATGCATAGTTTTCCTTGAGTCTAAATTCCACTTAAAATGTAATTGTACAGTGAAGTACAATCCCTAGAAGCCAGGCATGCTGCCTACATAGTCAGAATTTTCTCAAATCTAATTTGAACAAACTATACCTTACAGCTTTACCTTATACCTTATACCTATGAAGATCAGCAAGTCACAATTCTATTTTACTGTCTGTGCTTGGACTCCTGAGCCCTGTTTATGCTGGTGAAATGATTGATTTGGAAGAACTGCTGGATAAAATTGAAGTATGTCTATATTTCACTTCACATGAAAGTCTTGAGGCCTGCTTGAAGTCAGAACGAGCATATAGTTTGTTTGGCTGGGAGAAAGATGGGAGAAGAATCCTCCTCTACCTTCTCCATAAATATTGCAACTCCTATTTCTAGTTATCATAGTTAAATAAACAATGAATTCCAGCTGCAAGACTGATCCAACAGGGGACCTGAAAGCTGTATCTGATCCCAATCATATTGACTGTACAGGCACAGGCTGTGTCTAGTCTTAGGGAATGGGTGCAGAGCACCATCATCATGTGCATAGCTCCCAGTTTCTGAATCATCTCTGCCAGCTTTAGAGAAGATCCGCAGAAATATCCACAGAAAATCTGGGGCTGCCTGAAGGACAGCTTATCAGGCAGGCATGTGATTAGAAGATAAAGAAGTTGTAGGACACTCACTGCTTGGGCTGAATTAGCAGCTACCCAGGAACTGCCTGTTCAGAGATACCTGTCCCACCACACTCTCTGAGATCCTCACCGTTTAACTGATTTATCTTTCCTAGAAACACCACAGGAACTACATGGATTTCACCCATTTTAAATTACCTCGTTTCATAACAGTCAGATTGCAGGTACTTACTTCTCCTTGGCAAAGGCGTGCCAGCTAGGTAGCGATAGGAAATGTTTATAGATCCTGAGAAATTAGACAAATCTTTGTACGTGTGAGCATAGCGCTCTGGGTTGAGCTGATGCGTGGCTGTTTCTCTGATTAATTGCTTGTCCCCTTCCTATTAGTGAGAAAACAAGAAGAATAGGAGAGGGAGAGAGATACAGAGAAACACATTTATGAATGCTAGCCAGAAAGGCAATACAGACAGGCAGGTTTCCAAGAATAACATTTTTCAGTGTCAGCTTTCTTGAAAGCATGTAGATGTTACCTCATTTTTTAAAACCCATTACTGAATATCACACATTTTTGGTTGCAGGAAATAACTTTTCAGATTATGGTAAAAAGAAAAGAAGAAAAAGCAGTTTGGAGAAAAATTCTTTAAATGTTGTTTTTTGAAAGGTTTTGGATCAGTTAATTATCACAAAAAAAAGCTGGCATACTGAGAACAGGGAAAAGAGAACATCAGTTCACAGTACATGAGATAATTTTCCTTGAAAGAAGAAGTGGTGGAGAAGATCTTTTTGAAAATACTTTCAGTGATTAAAAGCAAAACAGCCCAAACCAACCCTCAAACAAGAAAACTATTAAAAAAGCCCTAAACAGAGCAAAGAGCAGTTTACATCACCACATTCTCTCTCTCTGTCCCCTATTCTTGTTTTTTTCTTTTGTTTTTTTTCTTTCAAGAGGCTTCCTGAGCCTTAAAAAAATCACACAAGAGAAGGAGAGACTTCATCAGCAAATCATCCATTTAACCTTTCCCTCAGACTTTAAAAAAAAGTATATAACAAGATGCAGCACCATGAGACTGTTTACAATTTACATTGTTTGAGCCTAGTCTGATGACAGGCCAATTAAGAAATGAGTTTATTTCTTCTATTACAGTATGTTACTATGCTAAAAAATGTCCTGACCTGTCTTAAATGAGAGCATTGTGCAGCATTAGTTCTGCTTCTAACAAGAATAACGGTAAGCAAAATTTATGTTTGATGGTATAAACATTCTAAATATGTGAAGATGTATTTTATGGTGAAAATAAATATTCCTGTAAACCGATCCCATGTACATTTTAAGTTCACTATTTTTCTTCCATAGAAGAGTAAATAATCTGGCATCTGAGTAAAGATCTTTTGGATGATGTCCTGCACTGTTATACTCTCTAGTGCCGCTATACTACTTCACATTTTCTCATAAGTTAGGTGAAGAAGGCTTATTCTAGGTTAAAATGCAAATCAGTGGACTGTCTCGAAAACAAAACAGAAAACAACAGCAAGCAACAACAATGACAAATGCACAAAACAATTGTTCTAGTACTAGTATTACTTTTTCAAACAGTGTTTTTCATTAAGGTCAAAATGTTATTTGTAATTCCAAAACAGAACACCAAAATTCCTCATTTCATTGGATGTGAGAATGGAAACACAACTTAATGCATAAAAAGTTTAAAAATAATTTGAAATTGTAAATGTGAAGACAAAATGTTAAAATGAACTGACCACACAAAAACAAAACAAAACAAAGAAAAACCAAAAAGTTTTTTCATTTTACTCTTGAAGGAATGCCTCTTATGGGTAGATTTTGCTGTTCATTCAAAAAATGAATGGAAAGCAAAACTGAACTATTGATTTTTCCTTAAATATAAGTTTTTTTTTTGTTTTGTTTTTCTCCTGACTGCTGTGGAGAGATCAGTGAAGATGAAGAGCTAATTACTCTCTTTAGCTGTCTTTGTTTTACAATAGCTCTGACTCTTCTTTCTTGATTAACCTTTAGAACATGTTCTACTGTTTGCTGGATCTTGAAGGATTCCTGTAAGTGTCAGAATAGTCCAAAGTGCTCCATTTTTATATACATACACTGCTCCACTAAAGATTTTATGTCAACTACAATATTGCTACTGTTTTCACAGTGCCCAAATAAGGCCTGGTATTCATAGAAGAGTTAGGAATCCATTTATCACTTATAACTCAGAGTATGTAGAACAAGTCACTGTATCCCAACAGAGATATTGCAATATAAGTTATATTAATTCAGAATGTTTTCTAAATGTTTGAATAAAGTGGCACTCACACTACAGCAGAACCATAAGCATATATCAGCACTGCATACCATCTATTAAAACAATTTAAATAATTTCTCCTGGTGAGCCATTAATTTTCACAGTCATTACTTTCCACTTTCACTGCAAATGCCCTGCAGAGACCAATGAAAGGGTTTATTTGAACATGCAAGATTCTCCTCGTGAAAAAGGAGTATCTCAGTTTTAATTTGTAACTTCCTGAAAATCTGCTCTTTACATGTTGTGTGTGGTGAAAGTGGTACCAGCTGTCCAAAACAGGGAAGAAAAGCTGGGCAATTACACGCATACTCTGTCACTTACCTACAGGAGATCTTCCAACAGGAAACAAGCTGTAGTTAGAAAGTCAGAAGGCCTTCAGGACTCTGAGAACTTTCAGATTCTAATTTCCTGAGGCACACTGGTTAGCTTGCTGTCCTCAAAATCTATCCAGATGTGTCTCTCCTCACTACTAACACTAAAGCTGCTTATTTTTTTTTTTTTACCTCAGCAGAGCACGTACACTAGTAAATTAACGGAGCTGTCAGACATGGTCGGAAAAGTTGAAAATAAAAATAAATAAATAAGATAAAAAGTCAACAGCCTGACACATTTGAAAAATGCTTGATGGACCAGAAATGTATCAAGAGATCTGGGGGAACTGTCAGGAGATTTGGCAAGAGACTTGGCTGGGAGATACATGAATGCAAACATGCCAGAACTGTGATGAGAGAAGCAATGAAGAAGAGTGAATTTCTAAAAAAAGATGGGAAAAAGAGCAAATTAAGAATAAGACATGGAGCCATCTGGGGAGTTGGCAAATAGGATAGGAAAAGAATTAAAAAACAAATCAAGAGGAACGCCATTAGCAGTGATAATAAAAGAACTTTCAGAGACATCTGGGGGAGTTAGAAGCAATTACTGAAAGAAGAAAATACTGCTAGGAAAAAAAAAAAATTGATAAGCCAGGTCAAATTCAATTACAATGAAGAAATCATGAATAAATCAAACAGTGTAAAATCTTAGTACTAGTGCTGTTAGAGAAAGCATTATGTCAGTAATGGAGTAACATACTGGAAGTATGAGTTATGTTTTCTAAAGTTCAAAAAGCACTAGGATGGCCCTAATTGTATTCACGAAGTTAACAATATTGCTGTGGGTAATGCAGTGAGTAAAATGTTTTTAATTAATATCACTAGTAAGATATACATTGTTGTGATAAATTCGTATAAGCATTTTACTATTTACATATTGCACATATCTCATATTATCGTATTGCTATTCAGATCCAGCAAAAACTTCACCTTCCACAATACTGGGAAGTCTGTACTGCCCCATTACACGAGTCAGACAAAGAAGAATCACAAAGCCATTCATTAGTTCAACTTAAAATCAAGAAAGAAGGCAGTCTAATTGTATCACAATGCTATATGTTTAGTTTAGAAATTTTATTATTTGTAAGCTCCACCTTTCAGGCTATCACGCCTTCCACTGGGCCCAATCCAATTTCTGATGAACTGGAAATTCAAAATATAACTAAAACTTCAGATCATACTTCTCATTCTCCAGTGAGACATCGATAGGGTACATATAAATTGCAGGCTATGTTACATTCTCGATAACCTACTTGTTGAAATTCTTAACAGACTTTCTGATTATTTATTTATTTATTTATTTATTTGTTGCTACCATTGACTTACACTAGGTGTCATTTCCATCTAATTGTTCACACTGTAGCACCGAACCTAGAAGATTCAAATATGGGAAACAGAATATGACAAAAACATAGAATAAAAGCAGTGAAAATAAATTACTCATACAAGAGCCTAAAAGTAATATGGAATTAATGTAGATTCTCTTCTATAATTATATTCCCTATCATCATGTAATGAAGTATTTACAAGTGAGATTCATAGTACAGACTGAAGAAGGAACTCCTAGCTTACATGAATATTCCAGATGTAGGCAATTTCTACATTAAAACGGAAGGAAATCAAGAAATATGGAAACACAGAATACATTTTGGCTTAGAAGGAGGTATCTGATAGAAAAAAAATTCTACATTAATTTCCTCCTGTACTTAGGGCAAAAAGTAAAGGACAGTTCAGATCTTACTGACACACCTGTGTGTGTTGATCAGATGACTTCATCAGGACACATTTTTCTGTTAGCTGTACACCAAAAGGAGGAGACTACAGGAATTATGAACCTTAATGATTCTCTAGGGATGTATTTTATTGTTCCAGAATCTCTTTCATCTAAGAAACTTACCAAAACATAACCATCTTCAATGTACAAGTTCATGAACAGCAAGCAAATGACAAGGACGCCTAAGAATGACACTGCTGATCGTTTCCGCAAGCATCTCATTTTATCAAAATATTTCAAGTTGTGTCTCATATGAAGAAAGGCATACGGTAGTGTCACCTATGAAAGAAAATCACAGTGTTACAAGAACTCTTAATCTACCTGATAGGTGTGAGAGCAAAACAATATGTATCAAAGCTCTTCAAATATACATAGAATATACTCCTTAAGGTGGGATTTGTTTCATGTAATCTTGGTCATCTTCAAGCTAAATCTATAATTCTACCTATAATTTAACCTTCCTTTTCCAGTCAATAAAGAAAAGCACACTTTATCCTACACATTTTAGGCTGGCACTATAAAAACATTGTGACAGGAGAGCATCAGCTATTTAGTTCCCCCTGCATAAATTTCTTAGATTCCATCTAGATGACTAGGAAAGATGATTTGTACCTGTACTTCCTTTCAAATACAGCTCAAGCCAAAAGGCCAGGAAGAAGTTATTGCTCGTCTCAATATCCTTGCCAATGGGAAAGGTGTGGATACTCCCAGGCGTGAATGAGGTACTTTTCCTGCAGAAAGGAGGTAACATCAGGAATCTGCAGCACCCCTCAGCCTCAGGCACTTGTACTAGTATGAAAAAAAGTATGAAAAAAACTTCCATCGGAGCTGTTATTTTCTGCACTGAATGTAGAAAAAAGATCAATGTCTACCTTAGACTGAACACATATAGCTGTCAGAAAGCCCTTATTGCTCCAATTAAACAAATCAAAGAAAAGTGGCAGAAAGAGTCAGGAAGCTCATTAGTAGAGTTCAAGATCAAGAAGGCTGTCTAATCATATCACAATGTTACATATTTATTGTAGTGATGTTACTATTTAAACAATATGAAAGTCATTCTTGGATATCAGATCACAAACATTAACTTGTTCTAATGTATTTAACTACTTCTCTTTGAACTACATTTGATTGAATATTGTCTGACCACAAACTAAAATGAAAACCACACAGATTCCAGACTGCACTGCTCAAACACTGAGGAATTCTTAACTGAAAAGTAGATTATAAACTCACTGTTTATGTTTTCACTGTTTTTTAAGTACAAAAGTGTTATGGCTGTTGTTTATAACAATGTATGATTTGTCTATAATATTTAATACATTGAAAACATATGAATAGAGTGCAAATATCTACTAATCTACATGAAGTGATGCACTACATGTGCATGTTTTAACTCTGTATTTAAATACCTTCATTTTTTAAAGCACTGAACATCTGAACTGACAGAAAATGTATCCAACTATGAATTCCACACGAGATTTATTACGTCAAGTTGATAGTTTTCTGGACTACTGATGAAAAATCTTTAAAATGTAGAATTCAATCTATATTTACATTGCCAAATTAATTAAATATATCTGACAGTCCATTAGACTCCAGAGAAATGAGAGGTAAGTACATCAGGTGTAAGTAGTGCAAAAATGTAACTCACCAAGTTTTTTGCATATAGATGAACTGCAGTGGATGGATGCTGGCTGCTTTTAATATCATTGGCTTTAAAATCACTATGTTGAGAACAATAAGAGCAACTTATATCTTGCACAAAGGAAAAGAACTATTAACGAACAACTAAGTATTTTTCATAAATTGGCCAGATTTGTCCCTGTTTATTTCAGGGTGGGCAGAACCAAAGCAGACTGATCACCATGAATCTGAATAAATCAAATGTAGGCATTTTTTTTTAAGGTTACAATAGTCCTTTGCATTTCCTTACCGTCTAATGGAAATGAGCACCAGGAAGGAGCTATCAAGGCCATGAATCTTCAAACTCTTGCCCTCCATCCACTGACAGCACAGTGATTACTGGTGATCTGTGGATTCAACAGGCTGTCAGAGGACACCATATCAGTTGTGGAAATGAAAGATTGCCCCTGTTCTAGAATAGGCCATGAAACATATGCACATGCATACATATATGTATGTATACTTACATATATGTATATATATATATATATAAATACTTTTTCTCACAGTGTAACTATGCCTTTTCAAAGCAATACACTCTTAAAAACTGATGAAACTAACACTGGAAAGATTAGATACTGGCAGTTCTTAAAGAACGGTGTGAGACAGTTTGACAGCTGAAAATTCAAGCAGCAAGACATAGAGTGCTTAGAACCACTATCAACTTTAGGGGTATCAGAGATGCGCTGCAGCTGCACATAGAGAATTTTTCCTTTGGAATGCTTGAGAATAAATAAGTGACTTTTCAGACACAGGATGACTGTTCACGTTGCTGATTGCACTGTGGTACCTCCCTTGTCTTTGCTCTGACCAACTTTGACCAAAGTCAGTAAGTGTGAGGAAGGTGTTTGTAACTACATTTTCTGGTTATATTTTCTTCCTTTAAGGACCAGCAAGTTTCATTAGATAATTACTTTGTTGAATTAAGAAACAGGCATTGCTAGAATTACACAAGTGAGACTGGAGGAAGGCTATTATTATTAATGATAATGGAGGACTATTAATGCAGAAAGATAATTGTTGCACATGGCCAACATTCAGTAGAAATTGCTTATATTTATTGTGTTGGTTTCACACAAAGTCATTAAAACGTTCTTGATTACAGACAGAATCCTTGAAACTGTTGAAATTAAAACTTAGTTCCAATGTTGATTTTTTTATGCTCATAAAACTTACAGGACCCTACCAACCAGAGGAACTACAGAGAAGGACATCCAGTTGTGATGAAACCTCTGCTGACAGCACTTCATGAAGGAGACACAGCTGCAATCACTAACACCAGATGGCACTGCAGATGTGTCTTCAACCGCCATCAACCTGCTCCAAAACCTGCTCCAAAACCTGCTTCTTCCAGCCAGTTTGTCTGAATGTACTATTTGGCATACTTATAATGTAAGCCTTTAGCTAAAAATATTCAAGCCTCATACATATGGAATTCCTTACATTGTCTTTGAACTGCTTTTTCTTGCATCGCTATTTCCAATCTGTAACATGGCACTTTGAAACACTACAAAAGTGAAATATGAAAGGTTAAAAAGATAGTGGTAGGCACTGCCAGTCATCTTTTGAAAAAATATCAGAACTTCTCACAAAGATTTTTTTGCTGTTCTGTAAGCCCATTTGAGCAGAATATACACAGTCACACAAAACTAAGGCTCTGAGATTGAAATAAAAAAGCTTCAACTTGTCAGTTATGAAGCCATAACTTTGCCATAGGATTTTATGCACAATTAAGTAGATATTAGAATTCTATAAGTGCAATTTGTTTTGTAAAGCTAGCATTAAGTTGTTACAATGTAGCTATTAATACACCTGCATGGATTCTAACTCTTGTCCTTTCTAGATGTGATATATCATTTTCTTCCCTCTCTTTGGACTCCAAAACTCTAATATACATTCGTATTCACACATGCTTGTGCTGTTATGCATAGTAATTTAAAACTATAATTCTTGTGACTTTCTAAGATGATACAGACATAAAAGAACAATGAACTAAAATATGCAATCACATACCTTACAGAGAGAAGCTGTTTTTTATAAGACCTGTAAAGGTGTGAAGGCTTTATAAAGATCAGAACTGATTTTCACATAATAATGTGATGCTTTCTCTTGCAGAATTTGCAACACTCAACAGAATTTTAAAAAAATGTTTTAGAAAGCAAATTCTGAATGCACTTCTAGTAATAGTCTGTTCCTAATAGCCAAGTCTTTGAAACAAACAAACAAAAAGTTAAATTTAAATTTAAAGCTGTTAAAAGTTTTAAACAACTTTCAATTGTGATGTCTAGGTGGCTTTTTCCAAGAATAAAAAGTGGCTAAAAGCAAAGCTTCTTCCTTATTTTCCCCCTTCTCAGAGGTAAGAGGATATTTTTGCCAGCTCTGCAATAATTTCTGTGTACCACATATACGCAATTTCACTGTGACAAACCATTTCATATTCAATCTTGTCTAATTCTTCATGACTTTCTGACAATATTTGCCACATTTGCTTTGTCGCACTTTCAGAGACCACTGTTCAATTACCTGATCAATTTCCTTTGAAAAGATAAATGTTAAAAGACCCTGTAGTCTTCCTTTACAACCTAAACATAAACTTACCTAACCAATATGGTGGATCTACTTGTGTCTACAAATGTAAAGAGGTGCAGCAGTGAGATCAGCTACTATGTTCTGAGTCGCCATCCCTGGATGTGTTTAAAAACTGTTTGGATGTGGTGCTCAGGGACGTGATTTAATGGAGGGTTGTTATTTAGGGTAGTATGGTTAGGTCATGGTTGGACTCAAAGATCCTTAAGGTCTTTTCCAACATTACTGATTCTATGATTCTATAATTCTACTCTGGGTTGCTTGGGTGCTGTGCCCTAGCAGCTAAAGAAAAGTTGCATATTTACAGAGGAACAGATGGATGTCAGAAATGACAACTTTTTTTTAATATATTTCCAAATCAGGCACAAAGCTTTGCCTGTCACTAGTCTTCCAGGGCATACAATAGACAAGATCTGTTACCATGTTAACTATATAAAGAAAATTCTGAGATAACATTCGCAAAAAATCATGACTGGATTGCTAAATCCTTTGTGAACTTTATTGCTATCCTTGATTTGACTAAGATGCTCTGAATTAGGTTCTTCACTTCTGAGCTCTGAGATATATCATTCCACCATTGTATAACTAAACTGCTTTACTTGCACTTCTTGATGATTGTCCAATTTCTTTTTCAGATTTTCTGTTTGGAAGACTGCAGATGATGCCTCAAGGGTTCCATTCAATCCTCTTTACAAATTAAATTTTATTTAAATTAAGCAAATTAAGCACAGGAAAAAATAAAAGGAATTTTTGTACATGATTACTATTACTATTGAACTATTACTAAATAACTATATATATATAACTACTACTAGAATTACTATTACTATTGAACATGATTACTATTAAATTCTGCATGTGTCATGGTCTTCTTACATAAGATGAAAACACAGCTAAGCAAAAAAAAAAAAAAAGGACACTGAACCCTAAATTACCATATACATCTGAGCTACAGTTTTTGGCGGACTAGAAAATTACAATGGATAAGTTTTTGCTATTCCATAGAGCTCAGATAGACTTACAGCAAAATTTACTGTCTATCTTACTGAAAGCCTGAAAATATGGATAAAATGTTTAAGGCTGACAGGCAGGATGCTTGTTGTCACTGGCAGCAGAAAAGTAAAAACTGTTGTGAGGGAAAAGAAGCTCTAGCTCAGAATGAGGCTAACAAATCCAGATTTTAGAACTTGAGTTTTAAGCTGGCAATAAATACAGTTTTTAGATGGTTTGCTGTTTTATTTTGTAGCTCCAAATGCTAAAATTGTCCTAGAGATTGTCATGTCTTCTGAAATTTATATTCTATATACAGAAAGTCAAAAACAGATGTAGAAGAATGGACTACTCAAAATTTTGTATATAAAATGTAGAGTTTTAACTCAATATGCTATTGGAGGATGAAATGTCTTCAGCATCAGAATGACGTAAAAAAGAGCAACAAAACTTACTTTAGCTGTAGTGCTCTGAGCAAAACATAAAGTAGATCCCTTGGTCAAGTCTAATCAAGGTGAAGAGGTGACTAAAAGCAACAAGATGTATTGACTTAGATGTTAAACTACTATCTAATTTATCACTGGGTGGGTAGGAGCGTATATATTTTATCAAGTATGTTGTGGTTTGAAAGATGGATTTTAGAAAAATTGTTACAGGTGATGATTTGATGGGATGTGGAAAAAACCTAGAAGGCTACAGAAAATGGCAGGCAAATCTGAAAGAGACCTTCAAGTTCTGATCCCGAGAGACGAAGCAAAGGGAAAAAAGAACAGTATAGGAGAGAATGCTGCTCACTAAAACATCCAGAGAAAGTAACCTTAGAAACAGGTGGAAACTCAAGAGTGAGGGTTTAGGTGGCATCAGAAATAAGGCAAAAATGACTCAGTATTGAAATTAGCAGTGGAATTAAAAGATACTCAGTAAATTTATCAGTTTACTCATCAGTGAATAAAAGGAAGACATGGATACAAGCACTGCTGTGTTTCAACAGACTTTCATGGATGATTATCATATATGGCATTTGTGTAGCAAACTAAATTCCTTGAATCTATTAGACACCAATCTGACTATACTAAAGGGAATACATATACTATACTTGCCTGAATACCTCCCTACATGTTTCAATACCTTCACTGGAATCACAGTCTGCATTAGCTAACCATTCTGTAAGCTAATCACTCCGTAAGCTAACTTCTGGCTCAGGGTTCTACAGTTTCTTACCTGAGGTTTATGTTATGAACTTGTCCTTGGTCATAATCAAGTATTTTTGATGTCATATTTGTAGTAAGCAAACACTCCAGTCTTCCAAACTGGATGGTAGAAGCAGCATAAGCATTTGACAAAAGCCAGTTAAGAATCATCAGAAAAGTTGCATTCTGACCTTGGCTGAATCTGATCATATAACAGAAACGTGAGTAATTTCTCTGTTCATTTATAATCCTGATTTGAAGAGAAGAGTCTCCTTGAAGGCATATATGACTAATTTGGTTCAGTCATTGGTGAATCTCATAATGTGGTGTTAGCCACTGAGCTGTCATAATCCTCCATACTCTTCTTGCTTCACAGTTTCTGTGGCTAGTTACAACATGGCACTGTTAACACAAGTGCAGAACCCTGAGAGGTTTTATGTGCTGTGGAACAAGGAATATCGTTTGTGAGAAATCTGTGCTTCTGAGGAGCCATCCCTTGCATAGCATTCTATGAACCTATGTCAGGTACTGAAGGCTATTTTAGCATGGCATCTTTACATATCATTTCACAATACTTCCATAATAATGTGTGTTTGGAATACCATGATCAAAAAGCAATGATTTTTTATTGGGTGAGTTAGTTCAAAACAAACTCTTGTGAGGCCCCATCTGGAATACTGTGTCCAGGTGTGGAGCCCTCAGTACAAGAAAGACATTGAGATTTTGGAAAGGGTCCAGAGGAGGGCGACTAAGATGATCAGGGGGCTGGAGCGCCTCCCCTATGAGGACAGGCTGAGGGAGTTGGGCTTGTTCAGCCTGGAGAAGAGAAGGCTGCGGGGTGACCTCATTGCAGCCTATCAATACCTGAAGGGAACCTACACCCAGGAGGGGAGTAAACTCTTCAAAAGGGCTGATAACAGCAGGACTAGGGGAAATGGTTTTAAGTTGAAGGAGGGAAGATTTAGGTTGGATGTTAGGGGGAAGTTCTTTACTAGGAGAGTGGTTAGGCCCTGGAACGGGCTGCCCAGGGAGGTTGTGGATGCCCCGTCCTTGGACGTGTTTAAGGCCAGGTTGGATGGGGTCCTGGGCAACCTGATCTGAATGTGTATGTTTGGTGGCCCTGCTAGGCAGGGGGGTTGGAACTACATGATCCTTGGGGTCCCTTCCAACCCGGGTGATTCTGTGATTCTGTGATATATATTTATATATATGAAAAATATATACTCATATATGAATATATAATTATATATATATATTTCCAAAAGGTAAAATGGCATTGCTGGCTCCTTTACTCTCTAGTTAAACAAGATTTAAGTATCTCAGATTAGAGAAAAAAAAATATACATATATCCAGCTTGAAATGTGACTAGGTGTTATTGAACAACTCCCAAATTCGTGAGATTCTGACTTCTAGTTTATTATTTGCACAAAACCACGTATCTGTGAAGTTCACGGTACCCCTGGGAAATAATATAAAATAGATTAGGAGATTAAAAGTGAGAAAATTGGTTTTCACTGGCTTTGTTACTAATCTTTTTCTCAGATAAGTGTTTCATTAAGACTTTCCACTGAGCTCCCAGATAGAATCTTCCTGATCAATAAATTAACTCATTCTGTGAAAAAGGTTTAGAAGACTACATATACATGTGTAAGAGTCAATAATCTGCTTATTCATTTTTTAAAAAAGTCCCTCCTCAGAAAATCTTAATAAATTTTGATGATTAAGCATCTTTAACATGAAAATAGTTATTTATAACTATTGTATTTATATAAATTTATGTATTTATATAAATAATTATATTTATAACTATATTTGCTATTATAATAGCAAAATGACTTTTGCTTTTCTATGGACTTTGCTATTTATCAGCTTGTCTAGACATGACCTATCACGTATATTAATTAATGTTGATTGTATAACCAATGGAGATTGTTTTAGATGTACCATAATACATGCAACATACTATCTTCCTCTGAAGTGCAATTAAGTCATGCAATCTAAGCAGGAGCTGTGGTGGGAAGGGTTTACAGCCGCTGTTGCAAGTACTGCTTGTGCTTTTGCATTCTTAGTCAATTCTGCCTGCTGAGTCAATTAGATCCTTCGCAGAAAGAAACCCTCTGGCTCTCCTGAAAATAGATCATGTACACTAGCAGCTTTCCATGGCCATAATGATGATTTTGAGCTTAATAATCAGATTTCCTTAGGCTTTAGAAAAGTATTTCTAGACAGAAGTGAGAAGAATCCTGGGTTGAGTAACTACACATAGGATAAACAGCCATTTCCAATCAATGAAGTTAAGTTGAATGGTTTCTCATAGAGCACATGTACTTATCAAGTTGCTTTCTCTCTGTCTGTGTGACCTGCCAAGTAAAACTAGTTCAGTTTGTGTAGGAAACATCTCTCCAAAGCCTGCATACTTCGGCATGCACTGTTCTGTAGTAATCTCTGATATCCAGATTGCAGCTGGTGCCTAATTTCATTAAATTGGTGTTTAATTACTCAAAGGGGTAGTAGTGATACAGAGAGGATTGTTTCTTCTGTCTCATAATAGATTCTTTCCCAGTTTCCCAGTTTCTTCAGGAGATGCTTATTCCAATTTGCTCCTACCTTCTGTTTATCAGTTTAATACATTAAGTGGAATCTGCTAAATTGAATCAGAGAAATTTTGTAACCTAAAAAACCCTTCATTTTCCAAAGGGTTCACTGATGAACAAATATAAATATAAACTTTGAAACAGCTTCAACAAAATAGCTTGTCAGGTATGGAGAACAGAATTTTTAAACTTGTGTATGACAAACATGATAGAATCACAGAATAATGGGATGGAAAATGCTTTCAAGATCATCAAGTCCAATCATCAACCTTACCTGTAGAGTCCCTAACTTTATTAAAGTTACATATATTTGTAAGCTTGTTTCATCTATTATCTCTTTTGTTAGTATCTTTTCAAATTAGTATGTATTTAAAAAAAAAAGTCCAAAATTCAAACCCAAAACATCGACTATATATGAAAGAGTTGATGTTGATTTCTTGAGTGAATCTCCAGAATACTAAGGTGATTTAACTAAGCATTATCTTACAGAAACACCAGCTTAGAACATTGATACATTTGAGCCTCTGCAGGAAAAATAAATAAATTTTCACTTTTTTTTTTCTTCCCAATTGAAGCCTCACAATTGAAAAATTAAAAAAAAAATATATATATATATATTTTAAAAGCTGCAAAAAAAACTAAGATGCTTGCAAAATAATTTTCTACAAGATCTGAGCTCCTTTCTCCTAAGCATATAAACAAAGAAAGAATTTGGCATTCTTGAGATGCATGAAATCCCAGGAATGAACAAATGAATTATGTTAACAACTATGTCAAAAAATGATGGGATAGCATTATGACTTGACTGGACTCCTGAGGTTGAGTTGAGCATTAACCTCATTAAATATAAGTCAAGGAAATTAAATCAGGCTATTGCTTCTTCATTATTTTTATTTTTTCCCTGGATAATCTACACAGCTGTGAGCAAAAATATAACAGGAATCAAATATTATTTGTGTTTGAGTATGCTATTCGGACTCCACGCAATTCCAAAGAGGTCCAAAGAAATTCCAACATAGAATTTAAAAAAAAAAGCTTCTTCAATCTTAGTAAAGAAAATACAGTAACAGTATGGGGCAACGTGAAAATGTTTATATTCATGCTTATTTATTTTTCACAAATTGAAGCTAGTATGAGTTGGTCATATTTGAACTGAAGTTAATAGGAAAAGGTTTATAGCTTGAAACACATTTATGGAACTGAAGGAATTTTTGTGCCTGAACCTGAAAATGAAAAGTGACTCACAGATTTAACATTTTTAGTGGTTTTCATCACTCACGCAATGACTTTAAAAGTGTCTTCAAGGTGAAAAAAAAAATAAAAAAATAAAAAAAAACAACTTATCTGTGCTATGTTTCAATGTATCCATGCATAAGTTTTGCAAAAACAAGGCTGAATATCACACAAGTTTTGTGTTTCTATTGCTCTCTCTTTTTATGATTTAAAAATATAAAAAATAAAGTGGTTATTTATGTGCATTAAACATATTATGTATTTTAAATGTGGACCAAGACAATTCCTCTTCACTAAGCGAGGCACAGTAAGCCAAGAGGTTGGACACCCATGGTTTGTATTATGCACACACAGGATAATTTACATGCTTCTAATGTTAGAAGAACAGAAAATAAAACCTGATATGGTGGCCTGCAGAATTTAGCCTCAAAGAGCTCAGAGGGAAAAAAAGAAAGAGGGAAAAAAAGGAATGCTTCTTCACATATATGATATTTTCAAGTTACTATTGTGCTTAATCAAAAGTAATTTCTACTTTACTTCCTGGAAAATTTCATTTTCTGAAAGAAATGATAGACAATCAAGAATTATTAGATTCCTATAATTTTTATCCATTAACATCAGAAAAAAAGGTTGCATATGTTTCTCCATATTTTAAAATATTTTGAACAGATTATCCATTTTTAATCCATTACAAGAGGAGTAAGAACAATTCTAAATCTCTGAGAGTTGTATCTTATATGTGCAGATATTGCAGATACCACATTATAAAACTATGTTGTCTCTTTTTTGTTGTTGTTTTGTAGTATTTGACAGCATTTTCAGTAAGTTTATGTAGTGGGCAGACAAATTATTTTTCATTAGCAGACAAAAAGGTTACTAGAAATATATTATAGATTATACATGACTTACATGTATAATCTATTATCCATACATTTCATTTTGATCCAGTGCCTATATGATACACTCACTTCTTTTTCATATTGGGAAAGAGTCCAAGAGCGGAACATGTATCAACAAGCACAACAGTGAGATATATATTGCTAAAATATGATTGAGTTCAGCATGGTAAGTTATTCTTTAAATGCTGTTGTGCATTTTTATTGCCTAGTTAACCAACATTCATTTTACTGCTTAAGGATATAAATATAACTCAGCATGTTTTAGCTAGAATTTCAGTTAGAAAAAAATACTGCTTCTCAGTAGTTGTGATATTTCTCATAGGAAAAAAAAATTACCAACATATAAACTCACATTGTCTT